GTTATAGAAGTCAGCCTTGGTTGCAAAGTAACCGATGCTAAGGACACATCTTCAGAGCTGAACACTAGAAACTGTTGGGCTGATTACTTCAGTTTATGTACTGTACAAAAACACGCACTGAATAACGACTGAGCTCAAGCACTTTCATTGATTGGGGCGCGCTTTTATTGACATAAAGTTCCAGGGTTTGAACCCAACCTCAGCACCTCGACTGTTCCCGTCTAGGCTTGAAGAGGCTGACAGTATTTCAATCTTTTAGGTTTCTACAATTGGTCTAGAAAGTATGCACCAGAAGTGCTACAGCTGTTTGTTTTTTATTGATGACGGTGAGTAGTGTAAGTAGTATGAGTATTTTCATTACACACATGCCACTCACAAGTTTGCTGAAAACTCCTCGCCCTTCTTGGGCCCATCAGGTAGGTTCAGTCCCCGAGTTTCCGTCAACCTTATGTTTTAGTTGAACCCAAATTGGACTATTTTTGATAAATACACTCATTTGAGTAGTACAAGACCACCACGAGATGAATCAAATTGTCCAAGGAAACTGCAAGAATTCTCTGCCGAATAGCTGAACTGCTCAACAACGTTCGTTACGTTTCCTTTTTTAAGCGGGAACCACCGAAAGCTATGCAGACCCAGGTCGTGTCGGTGAACATTTTGAGGTTCTGCGCAACCGTCACTGGTTCATCGCGAACATGCGAAGCAAGGCGGGTAAATATCGAACGAAGTTCCGAATGCTGGACAGAACAGGATCCCATACCGTGGGTTCGTAGAGCAGTCCTTAAGCAACGACAAGGCCGGAGCTGCCCATGTTTCAAGTACTTTTATGACAGGATATGGACGAACCCCTCACTGGCGATTTCTTTACCGTCTTGATGAGGAAACGTGGGTAGAGTGCTGTGGAAGAAAGCACAGTTCAGGTAGCATCAAAGCGTCTTTATTGGGATGGCGCAGAAGAGCAGTCTATCATGGAATAAGAGTACAGTGCACAAAAATTCCGATGTGGATGCCAAGTTGTCCAGCCAGTTGTACTGTTTTATCACAAGTATTTGTGCAGAGTGAGAGGCTCTGACGAGCATAATTACTGTGTATGTTTGTCGTTTGGGATAATGAAGTTAGGAATTTCTTCTCTGCATGACAAACTATTCACAAGATTGCTGAAATCTCTTCAGCTGTCCATGACCGGTGTGGCCGTTCTTTGGGGTCAATAGATAGGCGAGGTCCTCAAGTTCCTGCCAGATTTATATTTTGCTTGATTCCTAATTGAACCCAAGGAGTGAAATACAAAATAGTTTGGTTTCAACAGCAGAGTAAACTGAGTCCCAGTCGAACCTCATGTTTACGCTATTCTTCAACTGAATGTCTTGCATAAAGGCCGTCTTGTGCTTCTGTTAGTGTGGCATTCGAGATGGTTTATCGACACGGTGCAAAACCAGTTCGAAAATGAATGTATTTCGTACGCTGCGTAAAATTAAGACATAAAACTGAAACCGAAATTCGGGGACTGCGTCTCCCGGTAAGTCCTTTCGAGGGCTGTCAAAGCCAGTGTTCCAGCAAGGAAACGAACTTTATTCTGGTGAGATTTAAATGCTAGAAGATGAGCCGCGGTGCATCAAGTTGATGATTCTGGGTTCTTGTGGCATCAGTAAGGCCTTCCAAAAGGTAAGCTTTGGAAGAACGTTTCAGTCTTCTTGTGGGATTCGAAGGATTTGTTTCGCAGTTGAGTCCATTTGAACAATTTACCAGTCCTAGACGTAACACTGGAAACTCTTCGACAGCCCATAACCGGTTTCGCCCTTCCTGAAGCTCATCATATGGACGCGGTCCCTAACTTTCCGTAAATCTTACGTTCTACTTGAAGCCATCATAAAGGGAAGTACTGCCGGATTTAGTTGAGTCTCCTGTCAAAACCAAATTTGTGTGCAAATGAGAGTGTTTGTCAAGATTTCTGTGATTTTGGTCCGAGTAGAACACAACGTTTGCGAAAACTCGGGGACTGCGCCTATATGGTAAGGCCCAAAACCGGTCATGTGTTGTCAACTGGACTTCAGCAACCTTATAAGTAATGCGTCACGTTTAGGCCAAAAATGCTTATTCGATCGCCGTCGCCCTCGTGGTACACCCGAACTTAATGAAATGGTGCTTGACTGAGTAAACCAGCAGATAAGGTTTATCAGGTTGGCGTGGTTTGGTTAGGCAGCTCGCATAACTCCCAAAACAAAGCGCCGTTCGCCATGCCATCCTCTTTCCAGAGCAGTTGGTGATAGCCCACCAACCGTGGTTTGTCAAGGCACGTTTGTGCTGAGACGTGTTCCTCTCTTTGGTATAAACAAACGAACCATCGCTGAGCTGAACTCTATCCGCATGCCTATACTGTACACATCACGTGACCAAGCTTGTCAAGCTTATTGGTCAGCGCTGTAAGTAAACAATAGGGCTAACTTCCGATCTTTGAACGTCATGTCAAGCAGTGGCTGAGCAGACGTCATATGTTCGGGAAACAACGCCACATGAAATCAGTTGGGGCGAATTTCCAGGGTCATCCGGCCTCCATCGCGCGATTCTTAAGTAGGAAAAAGGTGTTTTATTTTAACGATAAAGGGAATGAGACTCTTTCCGGGCAAACTGAAAATTGAATTGAACCCAAATTTGGGGACGTTGCCGACAAGTTTGTTTTCTCATCTCCAAATATCTGTCCTCAATATCCAGCATTTTCTGCATGCCTGCGTCTACTTGACCAACTGCTTGGTCTGATGCGAACTATTCATCGAAATGGGCCATTGAAATACCTGTTGGCTGGAAGATGGTCAAGACCCATGTTGGTCGGTTTTATGATAATGGCTTCCCAAGAAGGGCGAAACCGGTCGTGGGCTATCGAAGAGTTTTCGGCAACCTTGTGAATAGTTTCCTTTATGAAAATATACAGCGATATCTCGAATATCATGCCAACTGAATCACGTGGCGGCCTGTGTGCAGCACATTCGGTTGTAGAACATCATAAACGGGAATATCACAAACGAGAGATTCAGGTGAGTCTCTCGTGAAAACCAAATTGATTTGCAAATAAGTGTATTTCTCGAAAACAGTGCTATTTGGGTTCAACTAGAAAATAAGGCTGACTGTGGAATCTCGAGGACTGCGTCTACCTGATGTGGCCCAAGAAGGACGAAACCGGTCGTTGGCTGTCGAAGAGTTTTCAGCAACCTTGTGAGTAGTTTCCTTCATAAATAAGGCTTCCCTTTCGTTTGGCTGATCCGTTCACCCTTCCATGGAGAGCGATATTTGAAATTTTCAACTCCAACGATTCTGTTCACTTGAAGCGAGTGCCTCCTGTCCGGTATTGTCTAAAAAACGCCTTGTAGACTCCAGCCAATGGATCATTCGTCAGCGGCTTTGAGGTCAGATCCATGCCGATTAGGTGCCTACTCGAACTGCGCGTTTTTGTGGCCTATGGACAGACATCTGTAGCACACTACCCCAATAGCCGTCCAGCTGTCTTGTTCGGAGTGAACAAACAAACCATGCCAGCATGAAGCTTACGCAAACAGTAAATGCTGACGTATATGTATCACGTATCCCCTGGAGACTTTAACGACAGCAAACCGCTTGGCAACGGTTGTCAGCTGAGAACAGCAAGACAATATTACCCGGTCCTGTTTATTCGCCTATTCAGCTCTCCAATTCTACATACACCTGTATTTCCTCGGTATCAGTCGATGCACTTGTTAAATCGTGTCGCCTTCAACCAAGAACAAGTGATAAAAATTGCCGAACTATCATGAAGGCTTCGTACCGGAATCACACGCGGTTTCGTAAACAATCTGTCGTTAGTTACGTGCAGGTCCTCGAATCCGGACAAAAGATCACATATACACACGGGTTTGAAACCAGACGTTCGTTTGTTCGACAGTATATTCATAAACCAACAGTGAAATCTGATACGAAGACATCCAAGACACACTAGCTGGCTGAGAAATCATTCTTTGGGTTCTCCGTCTCAGAGATCTTTTTACGCACACGTGTTTTGGCTGTCTGAGAGCTGAAGCGCGTCACGTCACTTCACCATAAGTCGGGTTGGTTTATAAAATGGACCTAACTTGGTTAGAGATCACATATGGGACATGTTTGGCCTGAATACGAAGGTCAGGCCACTGGAGGCTCAATTTGTCGCATCATATGAACTTCTTAAACGGGTCGCCTTCCAGGATGGGGACCGCGTGATCCTCATTGTGCCTGGTTGGAGGCACTACAAGATATGGCTGCCAACCGATGTCAGTGGCGTTCTTGTTGTCAGTTTCTATCCAGATTGCCTGAGTGAATGTCTGGAGGTGTAGGCACCTCGGAATGATTGTGTTAAGCTAGCACTAAGTCCCTCCCCCATCCAGCTTTATTCTTTTCTTTACAATAAGCCTTTCAAATAAGTCATGGTTGTACGGCAGTGAAGCATCGGTGTTGAACACTGATGTCATGCTGTCGATGATGATGATGACTTGAACGGGTGCATTTGGGTTCTTGTATCATTCAGTGATGTTGCAGCAACTGGGCCTAACACTTACAATTAAGATTTTTTCCTTTGAAGTGAAACCCATCCCGACTGAAAAGCCGAAAAGCACTGAACAGATTTAGCCCTAACACACTACTCACAAGGTTGCAGAAAACTGTTCGACAATCCGCGGCCTGTTTCGCATTCTTGGCACAATACCCGAGTTTTCGTCAATCTTAGGTGCGAGTTGAATTCAAACTGGACGGAATTTGTCAACTACTCTCAAATGCAGGATAATTTGGCTTCAAGCTGGCTGGATCTATCTGAATCAGTCAGCAGGAGCCAGAGTTGGGCAGTCGGAAGTGAGTGGAAGGGGTTGGGTCGATTAGCTCAACCGATGTGCTTGATTTTTTGTTTCTGCTACGCAGCAAACATCAATATCAAACGAGTACAGTGTGGGAACAAGAGCAGCTTGTTGTCCTGCTCGCTTCAGGGTGTGGACATTGAAAGCAGCCGATTAGATTGGGCGTCGAAGCATGCAGATTGATTTCCAGATGCCTGAGGATGTCGCCGCCGGATGACGTGCAGATGTTGCTTGAGGAACCGATGTAGGACGAACGGAGTCATCAGTCCCAAGTGCTGGGCCTGCAAGGAGAGAGTTATTAATGGGGTGGGGAAAGAAAAAGTACTTGCAAGAGAAAGAAGGTGTTATGTCTGCTGATTCGCCAATCTGGGGTATCTGCTGCTGACTCGCTCCAGTGCCTAGTGTCGGAGAGAAAAGACTCACGGAAGGGAACACAATAGCTATATTCCAACAAAGCGGGTGCGAGTGCGAATGTACAACGGTCTCAAGCTATTTATTGGAGGGACACTGCCTGAACTCGGTCCAATGCTGACACACGATCTGGCTGCGACGTGCTGCATATTGCGGGGGTGTTGTCTGACCTTGATCAACGCTGACCGGCGCTGCCTGGGTTTGATACAAGGTTGTGACGCGCTGCATATTGAGGGGGCGTTGTCTGTCTGGTCAACATCTATCGGGGCTGAGAGTCTCGGTATATTTCGGGTATTCAGTGGTTGCTTTCAGGAAGCTGACCTTCCTGATAAAAGGGAAGCGTCAGCAGTAGTCTGTTTTCGCTTACTCGCTCTGCTGTATGCAGCGAGCCGGCTCATGGCAAGACTGATATGGCATGAGTTTATTTGTATGCTTACAATTCATGGTTGTACGTGGACTAGGATACTGTCAGGGTGCCCACACCAAGACAGGAGGACGATTAGGGTCCTCACTCAAAACCTTTGACTCAAAAGCCTAACTATAGGGCAGTCTGGGAATTCAAATAGATTGCCATTTTTACGGAACACGTCGTTACACATGTTCCAAACCCCAACCTGGAGGACCAGGAGACTGTTTGTCAGACCTCCAACCAACCTGACATGGGAGATTCTGCAAATGTCACATTGACATCCCCAGTATAGCTCAGTTGGTCACGTGAGTGCACATGCTTTCTTGCCGGTTGAATGGACCGGGGTTGTGTTTGTTTCGATTCTACCGTGAATCTCGGTGAAGCAATCCGGATAACCGAACTGTGGCTAGGTTTTGTTTAAAAATTGCTCCCCTTGCTCTAGGGGGCTGCGCAGTCTTCCCTCCCTTGATAGAACAGCCTCAGGTACACCGGTACGTGAGGCAAAACACATTCTGAAGTATGTGATCCAGCTGTCCGGTGAGAAGCCATCCATCGGATCAACCCCTTGAAATCATTCCAAGATCCAATCCAATCAGCCTTGACTATGAGCGCAGACACAGTTGATCAGGTGACTAGCAGAAATCAAACCGATGTCTGCTCAGTATTGTTCCCACTCTGTACTTGTGTAAGTCGCGTGTCAGTGACCGAAGAAGACACTGTTAACGCATCACAGCACACGTCTTCCGTCAATTCTAATGATAATCTACAAACCTCATAATAAATTATGCAAAATGCCAGTGGGGTTGTAAGTTTTGGTTTTGGTTTTCACAACTCTCTTCGGAAGTTCCTGAATACAACACCTAACTGGTTTTGATATGAAATCCCGAACGTATTGTTTTGTAGACCCAAAAAGTCAACTGGGCCAGTGTAAACTAAATGCAACTAAAATATGCTCAAATCTCTTTCTGGAGCAGCAAAAAATCAGAATCATTCAGGGGCATCCTTTATCATTCGTTGCTTAGAATCAGCCCCAATTTGTAAAAGTATTGCTCTCTCGTTCATCCGAAGTTTTTGTCCTCGTTTCAGCCGCCATATTGAAAGCGCTGTGTGGCAGACACACACATGCCTTATCACCATGTCTCGGATTTATTTGTATAATTCTGTGTGCATTTACGGTTTCTAGAACAGTCTGAAAATCAAATATCCTGTGAGTGCAACAAACATTCCGTCAACAAGGAAACAAGGATTGAGCTGTCATCTATCTGACTGCGTGCGACAGATAAAATAGAGAAAGCTACCGTTGACTGGTCTGCTGAGGGAATGAACCATTCGAAGTAAAGCGAAATTCACCTCTGGAATAAATGGGATCCTAAGCTATACATGGTCTTCGAGAAATACACTCATTTACAAATCAATTTGGTTTTCATGAGAGACTCAACTTTATGAAAATACACTGCAACATCTCGAATATCGTGCCAACTGAAAAATAAGGTGGCCTGTGTGTAGCACATTCAGTTATAGAACATAAACGAGAGATTCAGTTGAGTCTCTCGTGAAAACCAAATTGATTTGCAATTGAGCGTATTTCTGGAAAGCCAAAGCAAAGTTACGCCGTGACAATTTCTCACTTGATCACTATACTGTAAATCACTTTGACTGCTAGCTTTTTTTAACATGTGATCAATAAGATCTAGTGACGTCAACCAGATGTACACAGTAGTGCATCGGTATCGATCAGTTCAGGAAAGTTCGACTCGGTCGAACGATACTCACACTTGTGTTGTTCACACAGTCGAAGAAGTCACAGTGAAAAGTTTGTCGAAAAACGTCAGGGCATGCTTGACGCAAAAGGGATTCCTCCTCAATTTGTGCATAACGAACATACCTGGCCGTCTGTTTCACGAGGTACATAGTAAGGATATTTCAATGGCGTACCGATGCAGAGTACCTGAAACCCTCTTTTCGAGAAATACATCCATTTGCAAATAAATTTGGTTTTCACGGGAGACTCAACTGAACCTCTTGTTTATGATATTCTCCAACTGAAGGTGCTGCACACAGGCGGCCTCATGATTCAGTTGGCACGATATTCGAGATATCGTAATTAATTTTCATTCAATTGAGTCTCCCGTGAAAACCAAATTTATTTGCAAATGAGTGTGTTTCTCGAAAACAGTCAAGGTTCAAGTAGAACATAAGGTTGACGGAAACTTGGGGAATGCGCCTACCTGATGGGTCCGAACTGGAAGGGCAAAACCGGTCGTGGACTGTCGAAGAGTTTCAGCAACCTTGTGAGTAGTTTCCTTTATGAATATATGCATGGTCTTTCTTTGTGAAGTTAACCCGTGAGAACTTCTGCCTTTTTTCTGTTGCACCAACGAAAGGCCGAGCTGTCCAACTTGTCGATTGGAAGTTCCACGACATGAGGGAGTATGGGCAATCGATCTCCGATGCATGCGTAGTCTAACCAGAGTTCCTTTCCTCATAATCGTGACTTTTATACTTGGAAGGCCGTGCCTGACACACGTGATCGTTAAATACAAACTAAAGAAACTTGTTCGAAATTCATGCTACCTGGCTGTCTGTCGGCCTCAACAACATCCGTACTAATTTCCCATACTCTGAGACGGGAATTGTGAGACCACATCTTTGATCAAGGAACTTTGTTCCCTGAAGTTTATTTGGGTGCCCATCTTGAAGATCAAAACTATTTTTGCAAGCATGAGAAAGCAGGTGCTTTCGTGCTGACCATTAGTTGACATGAGGACTCACCAGTGAGTGCTAATCAGTATCAAGGTCGATGCACTCTTTGTCCACTGTTTTTAACTACTCAACTCTGAGAAGCGTTAATGACATCGAATAGCGTCAACGGATTTGTAACGAGGTAATTAGAAAATGGATATTTAGTTGTGCAGCAAGTGACTCAATCGCGGAAGACATCGGGCACATCGCTGTTGTGATTCGCCCATATGCTACGCGTGCAGAAACATCGTCTGCCGTTTTCCGTGCCTTTTTCAGAATGGCGCAAACCTGGATGTGGACAACGTCTGACTTGACAGAAGTGTATGGAAGAGATGTCGAGGATTTTAGGTGTTGTCTGTACGGTCCACCTTTCTGGATGGTATCCTCCAGCGATTGGTTAGAGATACCGGAGGAAAGGGTAATTTTATGGAATGTCAGTGACGTTCGTACTCCCACTTTCTTTCCAGACTGTCTAACTGAGCGTTTGGAGAAGTGGTCACATGGGAACTTTTGTTTTTGCGGCAGTGAAACATCAGTTCCAACACTGAAGTTGCTGTCTCTTGCGATGATGATGATCAAACTTCGTCCGATCGTTTGTATGGAGAGCAACTCAGAGGTTTTATCGATCAGCTCGGTCAGGTTGTCTGAATGAGGTTCTGCACCCAGCTAACATCCAGTGAACAAATGACTTCATAGGTGCGTGTGCCTGTTGAATATTCGAATATTACCAGTTCAGCTGTGGCGTTTCGTACCTTGACTGAGTATCTGGCCCAATTAGTTTGTTCTTGAGGGTGAATAGAACGAAGATGGTGGGAACGTCTGTGTCATTAAACAAGCTTAAAGGTTTACACGAGAGACTCAACTGAATCTCTCGTTCATGATGCACACAGGCCGCTTCATGTTTCAGTTGGCACGATATTCGAGATATCGCAGTATATTTTCATGAAGGAAACTACTCACAAGGTTGCTGATAACGCTTCGAAAGCCCACGATTGGTTTCGCCCTCCCAGTTCGGGCTTATCAGGTAGGCACAGTCTCCGAGATTCCACCGTCAACCTTATGTTCTACTTGAATCCAAATTGGACTGTTTTCGAAGAGTTTTCAGCAACCGTGTGAATAGTTTCCTTTGTGAAAGCCTAGAGGTATTTGCCGACATAGACTGAAAAAAAGTGTCTTAATCAACCCAAAGTACGTTTGAGGATCTCAGCACACCGCTTGAAACGACATTTAGTCCTGGGAAGTTTACTCATTCCTGATCGTACCACTCCATTTGCTTGGAGAATTTACTGCTCCAAGAGACACCGTTGCATGAAATCTGAGCTAGGGATCCCCTGATGAAGGGCAGAAGTCTTTAGAATTTATTCATACGCATTAGTTCTGTGGTTGATGACAACAAGCCTGGTTGTATTGAAACATGAACCTAAATGCAATCGAGCGAAAAGCCGACAACTGCCGTCAGAAGATGATACCTAAATTCAATATTATGGGCTTTCTCCCGCAGAGCAACATCGGACTCGAATACGGGATATCATTAGCGGACAAAATGGATATAGACTACAGAATGCAGGGGTATTTCTAGTCTAGTACGGACTGGTAGACGCTGATGACTCGCTCTCCATCCGTCTTTCTCTCCAGTCGCTAAATTTACCCAGAGGGTCTAACACGTGAGCCCGCTGATCCTTTGGGTGCCTAACCATACTCACACACAGGCTTTAGCCT